ATCTATCTATCTATCTATCTATCTATCTATCTATCTATCTATCTATCCATCTACTGGAGGTTTTTAGGAAGTGACTGGACAGCCACCTGTCTGAAATGGTATAGGATCTCCTGCTTGAGCAGGGGGTCAGACTAGAAGACCTCTAAGGTCCCTTCCAGCTCTATTGTGATTGATTGATTGATTGAATCATCACTTTGAAGATGTCCAACTGAATGGGCTGCTGGAGAATCCCACTCAGCAACTTCAAGAGTTGTTCCAGATTTTTGCTCCTTTGAATTGAAATGATCTTTGTGGACGTTAAAAAAAAACCACACACACACACAACGGGGACTATCTCCTTAAAGGTAGTCCTCAACTTATGACAAGTCACTTAGTGACTATTCAAAGTTGAAATGGACCCCCCCTCCCCGAAAGGGACTTATGACCTGGTTCCAAAGTCGGCCAGCTCTCTTTGGTCAATGTGATCACATTTCAGGCACTTGGCAATTGGGAGGGATGCATTTACGACTATTTGTAGGATGCTTTGGTCACATAACCACAATTTACCATTTTGTTCCCTGGAAGCCAGCTGGGATGTCCACAAATGATGATCGCCTGATCATAGGAGGCTACAACAGTTGTAAATACATAAAATTTGCACCAGAGGTGGTTTTTCAGCCGGTTCTGACCACTTCTGGAGAACCAGTAGCGGAAATTTTGAGTAGCTTGGAGAACCAGCAAATCCCACCTCTGACTAGCCCCGCCCCCATCTCTTCTCCGCCTCCCATTGAGTCCCAGCTGATTGGCTGGGTCTCCTTTTGTTGTCCTGCACAGGAGAAGGGAGCTGGAAAGCAGGTTAGTGGGGTGGGGAGAGAATGGGGATTTTGCAGTATATCCTTCCCCTGCCATGCCCACCAAGCTGTGCTCACAGAACCGGTAGTAAAAATGTTTGAATCCCACCACTGATTTGCACCCAATTTTTGATCATTCATGGTCCATGGGGATGCTGGGTTGGTTGTAAGTGCGAGGACCGGGGGTTAAGTTGTATTTTTCAGGGTTTGAACAGTCACTAAACAAATTGTTCCAAGTTGAGGACTACCTGTATAGAGATGGCTATTGAAAAAGATGTTCACGTACAGAGTGTTTCTTTTCCCAGGAATCCCCAGTGCTGTATTTCCCGATCTGGGCAATTAAAAGATGGATGGACTGCAACTCCCAGAAT